GAGATTCTGCTCGATCGAATGATGTTCAAACATCAATATGTTTCCGGGCAAACTTGAGAAGACGGTAGCCTTGAATGTATCAAACCCATATTTCTTTAGTAATGTATAATATGCATTGATCTATAGTGATCAAATGCATATCAGTGAGCACCTCAGCGCTAGTTGAGATAGCTTTAATAAAATAGCTATACCTCCTCAACTAAGCGAAATCGCTTGACAAAATATATATTTTTCTGAATGCGGAGATTCTGCTGGTGTGAAGAAATTGATAAAATTGACTGGTGTGAAGAAATTGATATGTTACTGGTCAAAGCTTTGCAATAATTGGTTGCAACCACCGTGACGTCTAAACATTCAAAAAATTCTGCTCATAATTGATACGACCAACGTCGTTAGATGTATGTGCACATAAGTACATGCAAAATCTGAATTTGCTTGAAAAACAGACTGAGAATAAGTGCATATAAGACTTAAAAGCAAGGATGCGTTCCGATGTGATGATTCACTTACGAAATCCAGTCATATCTTCGCCAATTACATAGTAGTATAAGCTTAGGCAATAGAACATCGAGCCAAACGTTCCAAATAACGCCAGACTTATCGTAACTACGAAGTGTTTACGTAGTTTCTTATTCCTGAAACGGCAATCAAGTTAGTGATTCCTAATTAAGGCGAACATTCAATGCAATTCAATCACTCTCATTCGATGTTTTCGGTTAATTATAAGCGATTAATTTATCACTATAAAAGATTAATATTCGTTTTGCTTATTAATAATAAATTATTTTAGTATCACGGATGAACGTGCATGTCATTCGTACCTAATTTGCATCACATGCGAGAGCAGATCAACACTTAAAGTGATTAGCTTCGTTTCTTGTTCAAAAGAGTTTCCCACTGAACCAAAGAATGATTTGTGGTGCTCGGAAAAGAGAGCATGAAATCAACTGATCACAAACTCATAAGTGCCTACGCGCTTCATTCATGAAGCTAACATTAACGATGACTAACGTTAAATAAGCAATCGTAATCGTCGCATTGCCACTTATACCGAAAACTAGGATGAACGTAAACAGAGTGATCATCACGACTTTTTCGAACATTTTTCGTTGAATGTAGTGCCTGAAAAACGATAACATAGAACTGAAGTGCACATCTATGTTTTCATCAAATAACCAGTGACTGCTGGGTGGTGAAATTTTTCATAAATATTAATGCATTCTTATTTGGGAATACGAATCAAGTCACTATTGTCATGGTCGATCAACAACAATCAAACGTAGTGAACACCAAACGAAGTGCTAAAAACAAAGCGAATATAAAAAGTTTCATCTAGAGTTTGCACGAAATTCCGCAATCCCGCGATAGTACCTTCGAATGATGATTCCGAGAGTTTTGTTCTGGAAAACTCCGGCCTTTCTAAAATTGATGAAGCACTCCATTTCCTCCATATCCTATGATTTTGATAGTATGCTCATCATGATTTACAAACATCGATAATTCCCAATTCAATCATATTCACAATTCTTTCATCATTTAGGCATGATGCACGCGATTCAGTCTCATTTCACATATCAACTTAACTGCGCATTTTTCTGCCTTGATTCAACTGCGAACAAAAACCATAACAAGTAGAAATGTTGTTGTGGGCTCAATGAGAAGATCGTTGAAATTCTGGTGGCTGAAAACCTCGTTGCCATCAGATACTCTGCTACTTAATTCCAGGTAAAACGCTGCGGAATTCTCCGATTATGGGTTCTAGGCAGTCATATTGTCCAGAATTCAAACTATCAGTTTTGCGATCAGCCAAGCATAAAAACTGAACTTTTATAATTTTAACGTTAATTTCAATGTGTCGACTAGACATTCCTTGGGAGAAATTGGAAAATCGGTACGGTTACCGCTGAGATGGTTCGAGAAAAGGTTCACACATGGATTGTGTAAAGTTAATAAAACTTCCAAGTTAATCAGGTTCGCTTACTGCAGATACAGATATTGCAAAACAACAACAACAACAGAAGTGACGCTTTGCGCTAGAAAAAAGAACAAATGATTATGGTACGGCTCTCCGATCGTCGGCACTTTAAAAGAATGGATGGAGTTCATAGAAAAAAGCTGACGACGCAACTGGCACCGTTCATCGAACAATTTTTAGTGGAGAGCTAAGCAATCAGTCATGTGACTAATTTATTTTGTGAATTCGGTCGGATTTTGACCGCAATTCCGGCATCGATTGGAATTCCGATTGTCAGAAATTCAAAATGTGACTTCGGTCGGATTCACCGAACAATTCCAACAATTGGTCAGAGTTCCGACAGTCGGAGTGATAAAATTTCATATCGGTCAGGTTCCGACCGACATGAAATTTCGCTCGGATGCCATCACTAGTCATCAGTGACCAGTGGCTATAGGTACTTGATGAGATGTAATGCGATATAATAATGATTCATTACTAATGATCATTGAATATTCATCATTTTATAAATGCCCTCGTTAAATTAACTTATAAATGTTCGCCGCATCGTTATGTAAGCATCATCCAATTGAAGTCGCATCACGGTACCCATGCACTGCGTGATGATGACTCTATTTTAATGACGGATAACGCATATCAATGTGGAACACGGTCCATTTATTATTTCAAGAATGCTTTAACTTTTTTGCCCCATTTCCCTGATAGGTGCACCTGATATACTCAGAACGTAATCATTAGCATTGAACCTGTTCACAAAGCAATTTTGATGAACTGAAAAATAAGGTTACGCTTACATCAGACAGATACTATCACCTTACCACTTTTAAGACAAACGCACTCGGCTATTTCAGTTCCACTGATTGTGATTCTCAAACAGAGTATCTCATTTTCCACATTACCATCACTTTAAAAAACATGAGTTAATATTCCATTTGCGAAAAAATCATCTGCAGAATGCGTTCAAAATTAACAACCCATAAGTTTGATCTCCTCTATTTGTGATGTTTTGAAAATGCTCTCAATAAACAGTTTCTTTAATCAGATAATAAATAAAAAACTTCTATCATCCTTCGGTTTTTACTTGGTCATTCTGCAATATCTTAATGGCTATCCTCACTTCAGATTGGATCTAGACAGCGATTAATAAGATACATATGGTTTTAGTCTGTATTGATTACTCAAAAGTCTTCGGTGTAGTTTGTTTACATCAAAGATTGTTGCATAAATAAAATTCTTGTGGCATTCTAGATTAAATGCTCAAATGCACTGAAGCTTTTCGTATTAACATAACTTTCAAAGTTTATAAGCCAGGGTGTTATTTATGGCGTTCCTATAGGGAGTTTACTCGGTCCATTACCTTTTGCCGTTCATGCAAACAGTATTTCTGCTAACATTTGCAGTAGACGCAAACTTTAGGCTAATGATCTACAGATATACCGACCATTTCACGAATCCGGCCGTTAACTATTACCATCTTCGATATCAAGTTTGTCGATTGGTCGATAAAAACGCACGTTGCGAATACTCGCACAAATGGCAACTACACACACACATCGCACGGCAAATATTTCATTTCACAACCAAATCATCTTCATGACTGTATGCTGCGCCTCGATGAGAACCTTCAAAGCATTGTCTACGCTATTTAGTCATCAAGACCACTCCGAACTTAAATTGTCACCAACAATACTTTGAAATATCCGAAAATCCTTTTTAAAATTTGGAAGAGCGTTTAGAAGAATTTTGGTGAAGAGTTGTTCATTGCAGTCGATAATTTGGTGTTCTCATTAAAATGCTTTAGATACTCCGAAAAATCTTGGAATCCCATCTAAATTAGGATCATCTAGTGGTTCCGTTTCACAACGGTCACGACAAATTCATCTTGCCTGCACAGCAATTCTCTAATAACTGAATTAGGGAGTGCAGAAATTCTTGGCAAACCTGCAGTAAAAGATGCAGGCACAAGGCATCGCGGTCACGTTATCATCAACGAATCGTTCTTCCAATTGCTCATAAAGTATCCACCAATCAATTAAGTGTCGAAACAGCATTCGAGGTTGAGATGTTTGAACGGGGTTGTTGACAGCATTACGTTGAGATGTGCAACCTTGAAATGCGATCAAAATTAGCAAAGAATATGGCAATGATGCATCGATATAGTGCTTTAGGATTTCATCATAGAAATGTTGAATATTTCAAAGTTATAGCTGTTGAACAGTTGATTCGCGTGAATTAGAGCTTAAGAAGAACGTAGCAATGAATGAAAAACATCATAAATGTATGATGACACGCACTAGGGGAATAGTTTCGTGATCAGTCGGAACCCATTCACAAATCGCTTGGGATTTTGAGTCAACGCTTTGTGCTGTTGTTGCCATACGCTTGGTGCATATGACTCGGATGTACTACTTTCATTAATCGACATTCAAGGCTAAGCGTTGGTCATCTTCTGCACAAACTGTACTTCAGGGTGACCGCGAATATGTCATTGTAACACACCAATCGCACCAAAAACCCTTCATAGAGCTCAGTGAAAAATATTGACTTACTTAAATAAGTCGTCGCTTAGACCCATATCAGTTTCATTGCTCCTTTCAATAATAGGAATTGTTGACGTAGAGGATTTTTGGAATAGGAATTTAAAATATTCATTGATGAGTGGAAAGAATGGATAACCGTTTGAATAGCACTTTGGTGGAGGCAGATTCACTTTAGGTATTAAATAAGTATATGCCTGAGGCGTATCTAACAGAATCAATGCATTCGCACGCCGATAGTGTACGAACTAATATATTTAGTAAAACCACTCTCCATGCTTAAAAAAGCAGAAAAAATAGCGGTTGACTTTTTGGTAATTCTTTTCTAATTCCATTTATATCGCTCTACTTCCAATCTTCTTCATCTTTACAGATGAATAATCGAAATGCAAAAATCGCACGCGTCGGCACTACTCTCTCCTAATCCTCCCCAAAACAAAGCATTTAATTGATTACTTCAACCAGAATAGCAACCAACGACTTTTCCGAATGCTTCTTCGAAAAAATGAGTTAAAATTGAATTTAAGCTCTAAATTTGGATGACAGCAGATTAGCTCATTCTGTTGCACACAGAAGTGTTTCATTTTCGCCACACGTAAAAAGTAAATTGATGATTCAGTGAAATCGCCTTAGGAAAGTGCTCGAAACACAAATCTATCACAACTGTCTTCTTAACGTCACTTAGGATTCCATTAATGTCACTAACTGCGTTTAATGAGTTCTGTGCCTGATCGTGAGGCGAGACTACATACTCGTGAAGGCCAATCACAGCCATGAGATATCTTCAGTGAGGTACCTCCTTGATCGCAGCACTCCTCCAAAACGCATACGTATGTTGGGCATATTTTATTTTTGACGTTATTTAGTGAATTAATTATTTAATGAAATTCAGTTTTAACATACTTTCCTAATGCAGCTTCCAGAAATGATTATCGCATGTGTGAGCGATTAAATTTGAGTAGAGGGTGAAAAAGACTTCAGNCAAATGAAATGAAGTTGAAGTTTGCAATCGCAAAAGCTGTAAGTGCATTGTAATACCGCAATCTTGAGACGTGCAATTGCTCCACACACAGCACTGATCTACAGTGTTCACAAAGGAAAGAAAGATCACCTGAGAATTCCCGCCTTCACATCCCAAAAATTCCACCTTTGGGTGGTTCAATTGTGTTCGAAACAATTTTAGCTTTCTTTGCAAGCTCACTGATCTCTAGCGAGCAGCATACCGATTCATGATTTCTGCAAAACCGTATCAACGATTGTGAGGTGAACTGGAATCGGCAACTGTCCATGGCAAATGAAACCAGACTGTATGGTCTTTTCCAATCAGCTAGTTCTCAAAAATTATTCAGTAGCATAGTTGCAGCCTACCAACCAGATTACAAGTTCATACCTGGATTCGTATCGATCTCATGCAACACTTCTTTCCTCTTACAATTGCAACAACTCAAGCAAGATGTTCTTTTTATTCAAATCAACAGTGCTCGACACTAACTGTGATAACAACAGTAATAATGAAATTAACGACGACAATAACAATCGAAATAATGACAATAATCTATTGCACAATCAACAATACATATTAATCCTTCTCTCAAATTAAGTTTTACTTCGAGTGTTTCATACAAAAGAGATTACTACAACAAGAGAATTCAGTGCAATCTAGTTGTGATAACAATAACAACAATATACTCGCGAAAATGATAATAGCAACATCATTAAGACATTACTGGTAATGACGAAAGTTATTGATATATTACCACAAAAAAATTAGAATTTAAGAACGATTTAACGTAAAGATAACGAGTCATATTCGTTCATAAATATCACTCATACTTGATCGATGCTAACAAATTCAAGACGAATGCATAAATTGACTACGAAATTTCCAATTAAAGACTCTTTAGAATGAAATACACTTCAAATGTTCCCAGCTCGTATCACTTCAATACTTCGTGAACCTATCTATTAGCCACACATTTGACGTAATCTCCTCTAAATTAAATACTTGAGAATACGCAGTCGACAACTGTCTTACCTCTACTCACAATATGACGAGAGATAATCACAATATGAATATACGTGAAAAAATAAATATTGAAGAAATGAAAATAGAAATGGATGAAACAATGAAAGTCTCTATTCGATACTATCATATTACGAAAAGGGATATGAACAAAAAAGTAGACGTAGCCTCAATCAATGATTACAGTAACGTAACAATTTCATAGAGTTCATTCGCGAAGAACGCTGAATTCTTTCAGAACAAAACAAATACAATAACACAAATGGAATATAGAGCCGCCGGTCCATAGACAGCATTCGTTTCTGCAGCTTTCAGGCACAACACCAGAAAGCTCTCGTCTTCAAATAGCTCAAACGATACGATTTCGAACGTTGATAGAAAACATACTTTTACGATACAACCAATACCGAACGTCAACTTCAGACGGATGACAATCGACAAAACGGCTGAGTTTCGAGTAAACAATGGGAAAGATGAATTTCGATGATTGACTAAAGAAAGCGAATGAAACAAACAAAACAAAAAACGTCATAGAAAGTAACGCATAAGTAGAACGTAGTTTTCAAAGGAAGTCGTTAAAAATTTTGCGACGAATCACAACAAATCATTTCGATATCAATTTCTTCAATAGCATGATTCGCTACTAACGAAAACAACAATACTTATAATGATTATAAATGGCAACATCTCGGTGATAATGCATGCATTCACAAAAATTATATAGCAATGCCATGAAAACATTACTGGTAATGACGAATGTTATTGATAATAATTCTTGTAGAGTTTCAAAATTTCTTCGTCAATGGGCACATGCATGAATGGGAAGAGCCACAGAATGCATCAAAATAGGATGAGCAATGAGATGAAAGGCACTCAATGTCCCACTATCGATGTTTCCATGACCATAATGCTCAAATCTCTTTCGTCTTCGCAAATTTTCAAAAGAAAACAACTACAATTGAAGATATCAATAAAGACAAATTCAAAATTGACTTTCTTCAAACAATCACAATCGATGATCTTTACAACAAATTCTCAACAATTCATCTATACGTGATTCTACTGAATGATCGCTTCCGATCGCAATATACGATTGATATGATTTTTGATAAATACACAGACGCAATCTTCTAAAATGGAATAAAAATTTTCAATGTGAAAAACAACGATACAAAACAATCGACAATTGGAAGAAGGGATTTCTCGAATCCAATAAATGTGTTTTTTTTTCAGCAAGCAAATTTGCCTTTGATCCCTTCAGCCAACCGCTCCGATTCATGATTTCGTGTTCAATTCGGTAGAGTCTCGTCGTTTTTTGACGCCAGCGGTGGTATTTCAATAACTGGCTGTGGTAAAGGATACAGCGAAAGTGCTGACTTGAATGAATCAATATTCACAATCCGTTTCGGTTCCTTAATAAAAGCGAATTAATCCACGAAAAACCATTTCATAATAGAATATTTATAATAATAACAATAACAGTAA